ATTTTATATATGATAATAAAGTATTACAAATTATCACATTCCACATCTACACTATGTTCAAGCATGAGTAGTTTTAATATTTGATGCTTCAATAATATCTTATGCGAATGCAAAGTATATTTGTGTTAGTGTGTGGCCTAACGACAAGTATGACTATAGTTACTACACATGGGGGTTGTCACCTGCTTCAAAGTTTTAAATCTGGTAAGTAGGTCACAAAATTTTGTATGACATATCATGGGTTGTTAGTATACAAATTTTCGTAAAAGTTGTAATTTAGACAAAATCTGGGTTTTTGGAACTGACTGTTCGTCGTGTTCTTGAGGCATGTCGTGCATCTTCAATGCACATGGTACACCTTCAACATGCACGTGGCGCAGTCTTTGGTGTGCGCGAGGCTCATTTCAACAATTTTTCAATCCTTTTTCCTATCTTAACTTAATTCTAATTGTCTTGTCATATTTTCATCAGGTATGTCTCGAGCAGGTTGTCAGCGGGCGGGTCGGTTTCCACCTAATTGGTATCACATTCATATTTACAGTTTTCTATATAACATTCCTTCTACTAACCGGAACATATTTTTTTCACGGATGACTGCTCTGCTGTCCTAGCAGATCAGCATTCCACAGTCTCTGGTATGGAGGACTGCTGACAATCTTAAGTTGACGACGTGTTTAGAGTCGTATCTCACCCAAGTTTTTCGTGATGGTAATGGTCTCAATTTTTTTTTGCCACAATTAGCCAAAACTCCTAAAACTTTAAGATTTAAAATAATTAACTCAAAAGAATAATACCTGAAAAACAAATGTTACACAAAGAAACTCGATAACTGCTTACCCTTCACGTCATGTCCTTCGCGAGAAACCCTAATCGTTTAAGGTTCGGTGCTCTTCTATTCTAATGGTTGTCAAAGGTTGCTAATCTAATCTTTGGGTGCAATTACATCAGAGGGATCCTAGTTTGGGTTCTACACATTCAGACCAAAGATATCAAAGGCTATGAATGTACGTACTTTTATCCCTATATCGTTGTTTACTTAAGTTACATTAAATAGGTTGAACATCGATATGCTATTGGGTTCATAGGGTTGTTTTTATGTATAATTTTGCTATGTGTCTTTGTGGCTTTGTATCCTCATAACCCAACAATTCTAATTTTGTGCCTCTTTCTAAGTTGATTATGAGCTTCTTATAGAAATTAGGTTTTATTTTATGCTCTTTCAAACATGATCGTCAGTTTCTGAAGAAAAAATATGGTTCTAATTCTGTGAGCTTCTAGAAAATGAGTGAGAATGGGGGAAATGAGAGAAAAAAGAAGAAGATAGACGATCGTGAGTGAGAAATTAGAACCATAATTTGGTATCGACTATAATAGAGTAGGAGAGAGATGATAGGTAAAATAACGGATTTGTCCTCATATGAAGGGCATGTGAGGTAGTTAAGGGTTGCTCTTTATTAGAAGAAAGTCATAGACCAAACCTACAATAAAATATGTTCATAAGGACTAATATATATATATATATATATATATATATATATATATATATATATATAAAAGAAAATAAAAACTAAATGGTCAATAATCTAGCGGTAAGGAGTGACGTTTTCAAATGAGAGATTATAAGTTCAAATATCAGTAGAGACATACGTGGTTATTTAGATGTACGTTTGTTAGTTTGCTGTTTAAAAAAATATCATGCTAAAAAAACCCCAATGGGGGTTTTTAAGTTTTCCGCAAAAGCAAAAATGTTTCTCTCTTTGTGTGTGTGTGTGTGTGTGTATATATATATATATATATATATATATATATATATTATTTATTCTAACTTAATTATAATACAAAATATAAGATGGTTTTTTTCATAATTTTTTTAGTATTTTTTTATAACATTATTTTATATTACTATTTATTCTAAGTTAATTATAATACAAAATATAAGATGGCTTTTTTCATAATTCTTTTAGTATTTTTTTCTAACATTATTTACTATTTATTCTAACTCATTTTAATATAAATTTTTTATATTTTTAATACTTAACAAAAAAAGAGTTGATTTGATATCCGTTTTTAGCCTTATCTATCATGAGTTTATATACGTAAATATAAAATCGGTTTTAGGCTATCAGAGTTCGATTAAATCCAAACATGTTTTTATCAGTTTTTTGCATCAGATACGGATTTACAGTTTAACTATTAAACGAACAATTTTTTCGAAACGAACATGACGTCAAGTAGTTAAAAATTTTTACATGTAAAAAGACTATACAAAAAAAATCGTAAGTTGTAAAAAAAAAGTTAAAGATTCGGATGAACCAACTTCATATAAACGAACAAAATTTTAAAAATTTATGATTAATGTCAATTTTTGGATTCCAACCAAATAAATGGAAAAATATTTAAAATATAACCGGAAAAAAACATTGAAAATATAAATGATTTACTAGAAAAATTAATTGATTTTAAATTGGAAATAAAAAATAAATCCAACCACATAATTATTTTTAAAAATCCTAAACAAAAATAATATAGATAAAGTTAGAAAAATAAATGCTTTAAGTTTAAAATAATCGAAGTAATATTTTTTTAATAATAGGATATATTTAAATATAAATAATCTAAAGAATTAATTTAATAAAAATAAAATAGATAATAACTATAAACATATTTTTTTAAAAGTATATTAAAATAGAAAAAATAAAAGAAAAAACATAATAATTAAAAGATGATTAAAGTGTGACGTGAAAGGGATTTTTTTTAAATCTTGGTTTTTTTTAAGAAACCCCTTAAAAAATATATAAAATTAAAAGTTTAAAATTAAACTTTTTTACAAAAACATTGACCCAGTTTAAAGTTTTCTTTGAAAATAATGAAGTTTAAGAGTTTTTGACGATAAAGGTGTTTTTTAAAAAATATATTTACCATATAAGTATAGTTTTGAAAGTATTTATCAAACAATGTTATTTAACGAAAAAAAATCAAAATCGTGCCCTACTCTTCTCTTCTCCTCTTTCCTGAACGACAGAAACAACTGGGGAAGAAGATACGATGACGCCATCGTCTCTCTGACCTCATCTCCATCTTCGGCTAGGGTTGAACATGGTACGGTACCAGTTGATTTTTACTCAAACCGTGTATCGTACCAACTATAGTTGGTATAAATTTTTTGCTATCAGTATCGTACCAACTATACTTGGTACTAACTTGTTTGGCTACCAATAAGTTTGATTGGTACAAATTGATACTTTGTTCTAATTTTCAATTGTAGTAGTTAAAGACTAGTAATGATATTAGACGTTTTTCTCGTCTAGTAATATAAATTAGTAAATTAACTATTGTAGTTACTAAAAAATTTTAATAAGTAACTTTTTAAATTTTTAATATAATTTGGTAACAACTATTGACTATGTCTAATGTCTAATATCATACTTTTTAAAATCGTAAACAGTAAACACTTGACATTTAAAA